AAAGTTTGAAAATTCACAACCTTCAATAATCAAAGGGTTAGTCTAGAGATATTTAAGAAAAGGAATTTATTACCTCACTAGATTCTAAAACATTAATAACTGAATTTTCCACTGCATAATTTCCTCTAAAAACTGATTAGTATAAAATGAAATATGATTTCGTAACAAGATTTATAACACCTCCTTTTTTTATAGCGAAATTCTTTCTGAATAAACAATTTGTGCACTACTTTGATAAATATACATAAATTACATTTAAAAAGCCTAGATTATCGATAGATATTGCTCCTCCATCCTAAGCATAGTTCTCTGCAAATGTTGTTCCGTTAAGTGTTAAATTTGATTATGAAACTTGAATCGCTCCACCTTAAATTGCACTATTCACTATCATTGGAAATTACAAGAAAATAACGTACTTTAGAAAGTTGAGTGTTCATCATGAAGTTGACTATTGAACAAGCTAATCACTCCACCAGAATATGAATCAAAGCAGTTTTAGAATTAATTTACATATAAATCCGAGTTTTAAAGGTTTTGGAAAATAAATGCACTTTTATAATACGTAACTCCTAAATTGAGATTCGATTATAACCGTGCTGAGGATCTTGAATAGTCTTAACAGTAAAATAAATTCTCAGACATTTATAAGTAGGAAGATTTTGAGATAGAAGTTATAATCATACCTTCGTAAGCTTTTGATTACGAAATTGTATTCAGTCCAATATACATTGAATTATATGAGGCTCCAAATATGAAACCACCAGAACCTACAAGGAAATTTTCACTGGTTCCAATTCTATAGAGATGATTAGCTTAAAAATTAAATTCCAAATTTTTATCATCTAATCTGAAGATTCCTCCTTCTTTCTCAGCATAACTATCAGTGAATTCACTATACCAAATAAATATCCTTGTACCTATTTAGATTGAAGGATTAATCTTTTTGATTAGTATGCAACCAGCCTCATTAGATGAATAACTAAATTAAAAATTTAAACCCTCCATATAGAGGTCTGAATTATCTAGGATTTGCATTGATCCTCCATATTAAGCATTATTACCGATAAATTTGTTACTATAAATTTCACCAAATACCTATTGTAAAGTCATTGCAGCTCCATTCAATGCTGTATTATTTTCATAAATAGATTCATAATCTAAAAATTCCAAGCAATTTATGACTTTAACAGCACCATAGTTATTTAAAGATATATTTATGAATACATTATTATGTAATGTAGCCGATTTTGTATCTTCAATAGAAATAAATCCTTAAAATTTATAAATTATATATTCATCAAGTAGAATTGATCTAAAGTCTTTTTAATTATCTTCTAAATATTAAATAACGCTTTATTTAAAATATCCAGTTATGGTATTATCTTATATTTATACTGCATTAATTTGTTTAACATACATAAGTTGATAGATATTATCATTAGTAAGTTAATCAAGATCATCTTATTAATCAGTATCAACATCCACATAAATATCATAGAATTCAACTGAATTATTTAAAAAACTGAATTAGTAACTATAAATCACTGTAAATATCAGTCCACCATTTTCATAAATTAGAACTTAATCAGTGTTTTTAATATATCTTTATCTCCATACCTCCCAATATTTTGTCATGTTGGTAGAGAATTTACTGTTTATTATTGATATAGACTCCTTTACATACTCAAAATCATATTAATATAAGACTCCTCCTGTATATATTGCTTGATTATCTATAAATTCACAGTTGCTTATCATGATTGTCTTATAGTCTGCTCCAGTACTAGCGACACATCCATAGTAGCAAAAATTATCTACATAAAGGTTAGAATTCAATTGCAAAATGCATTAGCCGCATTAGTAGACACCTCCGTAATAAGCTGAATTATTAGAGTAATAGCTGAATGAATCCTAAAATGTTAAAATACCCTTTTCCCCATTTAAATTATAAACTCCACCACTTCCTATGTATTCTGTTTCATCGGATGTATAGGAACTGATGCCACAATTAGAAATATTATTTCTATATGATATAACAGTGGAATCTAAGTAAGTTAAAAATTGAAAAGCATGAAAACTATCTTAACCTGGTCATTTTTAATCTGCTAAGAAAGCCTTAATTTCATCTGGATTTACTTCATTTTAGCATGATATAACGTTATCTGATAATGTAGCATTCAATGTTTTTAGTTAGGATTATGCATATATTATAGCCCCTGTTACTTTAGCAAAAGTATCCTCAATAATCTAGTCCATGATACTTAAATTAAGCTCATTAGTACTTATTGCATAAATTACACCTCCACTTTCAACAGTTGAAGTACTAATAAATTTATTACTTTCTAAATCAATGATTATTTTAGGTCCCCACACAAAAATAACTCCACCTCCATAATAGTATGACTGAAATAATGTACCGATTGGAAATTCTTCATCTTAATTCTGAGATGATTTAACATTTGTAAAGTTTGAATGTTGAATTAGGACATTAACTTATGTATTATTTCCGTAAATGTACGCAAATCCTCCACTGTCTAGTGATAAGATATTATCTGCTCTTGATGATATTATTTATATGTCTATTGGGGAGTCAAAAGTTATATCATTCTTCTTTATTGAGTATATGATTCCTCCTTACTATGCTTACTAATTGTCATATGTAGTATTTTCAAAAGTTATACTTTAGCAGCCTTCACAATATATAACACCACCAAAAAATCCAAATGAGTTTATGTAAGTTGAGTCAATGTCTGAAAAATAAGCAGTATTTGTGCTAACATAATAGATTCCTCCTTTAAAACCATATCTGCATCCCTCATAAATATTAGATTAAGAATTTATTTATATTCTATCTTTCGTAACAATAACAATTGCTGTTCCATAGCTTTTTTAACTTATATCTCTTAGTGCATTCTCATTATACTTAGTCACATATAACCAATAGGTATCATTTACTTGAGATTTCAAAATCTAAGTAAAAGTATTGTTTAGAATGAAAACTTCAATATTATTATTTTGGTTGATAAAAGTAACATAACCTGATCTTTTGGAATAAATTTTACTTATTGGCTAGTAATAGAAATCCGAATACAAATCATTGACAGCAAAATTAGATTCAAAATTGCAATATTAAAATGTTAAGCTTGATAACCCTTCTTCATTTTCTGCAGGACTGTTCCAGCTTGGATTACTTGAAAGCACACCACCTTTGGTGTAGGACTCTGTATTAGTAAAATTGCAATTCAAAATTTCCAATTTACCCGAATAACCTTTAGCAATATGAATAATCCCCCCTGCTCTAGATACGATATTATTGAATGAATTGTTGAAAATAGTCTTAATCTCTCCGTTTTAATTTGGTGACATACTTATATTAAAAACAGATCCTCTATTCCCATAGATATTCTCAAAAAAAGAATCTTAAACGATTGTTTGATCTCCAATATTGTCTATTAGCTGTAATTAAAAGATTTAAGGACCATCATCATCTTATTAAAGATCAAATTCAGGATCCTGATTCTTCAATTATGTATTTATACTTGAAACTTAAAGAGCTTTGATTGATGCGTTTTTAGTAGCTATTGAGAATAATGAGTGATTGTAGTTAGTCCAACATTCTATGTTATTTAGAGTTACATTTTGCATCATAAAATCTGACATGGTATTTCCACTATAAATAAATTTAAGTTTTTAATACTTACTTTGATGAATAAATTAATCCCACATTTGGAGAGTCTCTATATACTTGCTTGTCAATTTAAAACTTCATATCATGGAATGCACTATCTATTATGATTATACCTTAAAGCTGAGAACTCTAATCAGATCCAATAATAGGATTAGTTTAAGCAAACATTGAGCTACTACTTATATCTGAATTCGCACTAAGTTTCAAATCAGTCGTTGCATAGATACTATTAAGCATGCCTTTATACTTAGAGACATCAACATTAGATAAATGTATAAATCCATAAAAATTCTTAATTGTGATAAATGCTCCCTTCTCAGTATTAAGTTTTTATTCGTAGATAAAATTATCTTTAATAGTCGTTTGACTGATAAATAAATAAAGACTTTATTCAATGTATATCAGACCCAAGAGCTATTTATCAGGTTTAATATACTCAGATGGGTCCCAAGATTCAGAAAAAAATTTGCTTATACTCATCTTTTAATCTGTAATTTCTGTTTAATTTTTATAGAGAAATGCAATTTTGTTATCTGATGTCTTAAATTTCTATAGTGTTATTGTAGATTCCTAAACATTTTCACCGTTTTCAGTGAAGTTTTCATTTTTGAACTAGACCCAGAGCATACCTCTAATATCTATCATACCCTCATTATAAGCTGCATAATTTTTAATGTAGTTGTTGTTGCTTAGCGTAAATTAATTTTTATTCGTTGATCCAAAATCTTAAGTAACAATTTCCTAAAGATCTATTATTTAATCATATGTGAATTATTATGGAGATATTTCTAAAGGCTTAGATTAATCAAGTTATTCAAGAGATTCTATTGTTTGGCAAACCATCTATATCAAACTTCCACCGTAAAGTGGGCATCCAAAATTATTCGAAAAATTGTTGGCATTTATTAAAATACCTCCGCAAGGGAGATATTCATCCTAAAAAGAATAATCATCAAAGCTTTTGTCATATCTTTTGATTTAAATAGCTATTGTAGATAGATATGCAAAATTCTATTCAAAAACGTTATTCTCTATCAGAATATCTTAAACCTGTAAATCAATTTTGCCAGCATCCTTTGTACCATCTATGTTTATTACTCCTTTAATTACGGAATTTCCTTAGAAAGTATTTAATCTAATTTAAACACTGCCGAGTTAATTTTAGATACTAATCAGGTGCTTTAGTTGAACAAAACCGCTATTATATTGATCATTTGGAGGATATACCTGATTGAAAATAACATCAGGATCATTATACTAATCATATTAAAAACTATTTTCATTTTCAAGAATGCTACATCCGCTTTTATATCCAAGTATATTGTATTCAAACATATTTCCAGTTATATTTGTGGGTCCATTGAAGTTATCCAAATGCAATATTTTGCCTTATCGATGCATTCCATAATAAGGATTTATTAGTGTCGGATTTTCAATTTATGCAGCAGGATTTATATCTAAGTTAGATACAATATCAATTCCAAATTAAGTAAAAACACAATTAGAAATGGTCAAACTTTGGCAATCAGTCTAGCAAATGCCAACAAAAGCCTTATCTTCCTCAAAAAATTTATCATATATCTCTTTTTGATAACCATTTTGACGAATTTGATGATTGTAGGATATGTGTTAAGATAATGTTTTGTCAACTTCATAAAATTTTCTGAAATTTCTGAATATAGCTCCACAAGTTGAAAATCTTTCAAATTTTGAATTTTAAATAGTAATATGGCCGCCATAGGAATTAGTTTCTATTAAAGTATTAAAATCAAATATAAAGTTCCTAAATTCGCATCCCTATAATAGCATGATAAATTTATTATCTGAATCTTACATCAATTAATAGTATTGGCGGTTTACTCAAAACTCTTGTTAATACCGTCTACTTTGAAATGTCAAATTTTATCATTGATCCTCCATTCGCAATATTGCATTCTTCTGTTCTAATAAGTTTTAATTTAAGCAATTATAATCTCACATCTTAATTTATGTTTTCGAACAATATTAATTTGAGGAATTGACATCTGAAATTTCTAAAGTTAATGGGTCTATTTGACAACAATCTACTAATTAGCTTAAACATGGAGCTTAGACATCAATTGCTAAATAATATTAAAATAATGAATAATTTACCTATCATGGAATCTAAACTATTAATGATTATGTTTTTCATTGTAAGCCCTTGACCAACGGGTATATTTAGTCTATCTCTTATTTTGTTTTTAATAGTTACCTTCTCTGTTTCATCTTCATAACAATTAACGTTTCCAGAACAATATAATGGAGTAATTGTAAGTTTAATGTTCTAAGAGTGAGCATCAATAGTAGTTGGCCTATAGTATTTGGTAGTTGATCTTAAAACCCAATGAGTCCCCTTCATTAGATTAATTGTAACTGTACACGTATCAATAACATCTGCACATATTTCATACATGCGAATAATGGCATCTTAAATATCCATAAATGGGTTGCCTATTTCTCCAGTCTAACTTGCAGCATCAAAATTTATGGTTACAGGAGGTTTAACATATAAATCAACAATTAGAGTTTGCTGGGTTTTAGCAATACAGTTTCCGTAAGATACTGTATTTATAGTCTTACTCAAGTAAAACCCGGCCTTACATCTAGTACAACCTCCAGGATATTCATTCACACATTCAAGACATTCACTATGACATTCAACGCAATAAGAGTGTTCAATCTTTCCTCTCTGAGAAAAATCTTTTTTGCCATAAAATCCTTTGGGACACTAAGATACGCAATTGCCAGTACTAGAATCTATAAAGCCATTAACACATCCCAGGCATCCTGATGCATCACAATTAGAACATTAGGGATAGTAATTCAAAATTGAAATATCTGCATTTTAACTATTACAGTTATTACATTCTCCATTTTCTAAAATGAATGTTTCCTAGCATTAGGTACAATACTCCCTATTATTTGAATCACAGGTAAAACAATTTTTCACATTGCATTTAGAGCAAAAGTTATAGTTATTAAGGTAATAGCCATCATCACACTCTTGGCACTCAGCTGCTCCTTAGGATGTTGCCTGTATACAATTATCAAAACTTTGTTCAGCCTCTTTTTTAACACAACTGTAGTTCTCGTTGTTTGCAGGGTTTGAATAATCTCAGAATAGCTCAGTACATTGCCTGCAAACACTAAGGTCTGAGTTCATGCATTCAAGGCACCATTTATTATTCTAACATTCAGAGCATTAATGAAAGCTACTTGAGATAGTTGAATTGATTATATTCACCCATCCCTAGCCCTAATCCTATGGTTAGCAATCTTCACAGCCGTAATCAATATTGCATGATCCACAATGATTTCCACAATTTTAGCATTTTCCTGACATTGCATCATTAACATATTAATATCCAGCTAGTTAGCAATCTGGCACGCAAAATGATAGGGAATCTGGATAAGTCTGACTAACTACACCAGTACTATTTGAAAGTAAATAAAGTCCACTCTGGCATTATAAACATTAAATATATGTTTGAGATCCAACTTTAAGCTACTAGCACTTTTCACAGCCATAGATTATCCCCGAACATCCTAAATGATCAGTATTAAAAACGTGTCTTGGAATTAATTCAATTTCTATGATATTTACTTACTTCAACAATATTCTTATTTATCTAAGGAATAATATGGTGAGAAACCTAAAACAAATTCAAAATTCAAAAATTATTACAATCATTTTAATCTTAGGCTAAAAAAAAAGGAACAAGTACCAGAATGGTAATTATTTACTAAAAAAATCTCATTAAGACTCAAATTTTATTAAATTATATATTTTAATATGAGTTTTCATTGAATTTTTATAATCATGGGGTTTTGGGGTTTTGGGGTTTTGGGG